CAAACGAAGCTCGCCGAATTTTTGCGGAGAGGAAGGTACCCATTATTCCGATGCTTGTTTGACAGTTCAGAACTGGCAAGGTTCGAAACGAAATTATGGATAGAGACCACAGGTGCAAAAAGTGTTTGGACGAGTGGTGCGCACGCGACAACACGTGCCGCAAAGCTGATGAGACCTGCTTCTACTGCGGCAGCGACAGCCACAACGGATGCGCGTGCGAACTTCCAGACAAGAGCCGCGAATTGGAAGAGAGACTCCAGAGTCTACGGAATGATTGCGACCATGCAAGAATGAGGATATACCGTATTGGCAAACGCTTGGAACGCCACGGCGTCAGAGACTTTGCTTAGCTTCTCTTCGGAAGGCCTTGACCCTGTTTCTCTTATCCTTTCTCTTTGAGGGGCGGGAGTATCGCGGAATATGCGCGATCTTTCTGATTGTATATGTAATTTGCTCTTAATCAACGCATTGGAATGTAAGGGTCGCTGGCGCGGCATGGTAAAAAGCACCCAGCTGGGTTGTTTTGGCTTTCCAGGAAGCTGCGCCAGCGACTCCGTATATAAGAGCGATAGTGACTCATAGGCTGCTCTTGCGACTTGCTCTTAATTTTGCGGTTTCTACTCGCACACATTTTGACTCCTTGCTCAGTTTTGCTCTTCTGGGGCTCTGGGGACTCCTGAGATCTTGAAACTCCAGTTAACGTGCTCAGATCATAAATCAGGCCTTATATCGAGTATTTTAGGCTCCTTTTCACTTTGTGACTCGTTTTGTGGACTCCAGATTTGTCACGAGAGGTGGTTATTTAACACTGAATTAATAAATAATTAGTGATTACTATTTTCGGATATTCAGTGAAAGGAAGTTTATACTCCTGTATCATATCTGGACAAATAAAACCGCGTGGCTCAACAGTTATTTTATGGTGCATCGGCTCCACGACGAAGGACCGAGGTAATAATTGAGGAAGACTTGGCTTTCAACTCTTGTCGCACTCCCATTTTGAGACATCGAAGAAAATTTGCGACGCTTACTCAATTGTCGCTGGGTTTTTTTCCGTTTTTCAATTGGACTCAGCGACACTTTCATCTCATACTCCTTTTTCCTGATTTTTTTGGTGAAAATCGAGCAAACGGTGGTATTACTCCGCAATGTCCGGACCGATAACACTGAAATCGCAGAAAGGCCTGTTGACTCGTTACTGCAATAACCTCAGACGTTTATTAGACTCCGCTGAAGCCAACTCAACGCAAAAATGGGCCGATTTACGGGACTCAGCAGACCTGGGGAACATGCAAGCCGTACTATTCGAGCTTCAAAGCATTTCCGACCTGGTTCTTAACTCCTTGTCAGCATTTACAGCCACAGTTGACTCATTGAGCGAGGAACTGGATGAGACCCACGAAAACCAAGTGCATGAGTATATCGATAGTGCACAAAACCTTCTTGATCGTGCAAGTTGCACTATACTCCAAATGGATGCTCAAGTAAAAACAGCTCGAGAGCACGCATTATTCTTGGGAGCTAGCCCCACAACAACACCCGGAATCTTGCAACCTGCACAACCAAGATTACCAGTGATCCCTGTACCCGTATTTTCTGGTAAAGTGTGGGAATATAAGAACTTTTGGGTTCTTTTTTGTGCTAACGTGCATGACCAGCCTTTAACAAAGCTACAAAAATTCAATTACTTGCTCAACGCTTTGAAAGGAGAAGCGCGCGAACTGGTAAAGCGGTATGCCGTTAGCGAGGACAACTATGACCTGGCTGTAGAGCTATTGCATAAAAAGTATGGGAATAATTCCAAATTGATTGACCATCTTCAAACGCGCTTGGAAGCAGCCAGAGCGGATAGCCCAACGAATCAATCTCAACGCCGCCTACTTGAATTCATTATTCCCATAGTAACCCAGCTACAACAGGAAAATGTCAACCTAGACGGATCGTATCTGGTAAAGAAAATCCTGGCAAAATTCAGTACGGCAATTCAACGCAAAATTCTTGAGAGCAAGTTTTCCCAAGACACCAACGAGTCTGACTGGAAGATGCAAGACTTGTTAAGAGAGCTCGACCACCATATTACGACGGAGGAACGTATAACTGATATGGTGAAGACCAGGAATCCTAACACCACTTTAAAAGATAGTTCGAGGGACTCCCCAGCACCAAGTCCTAAGAATCCGCAGTGTATGTTCTGCGCGTCACCATATCATAAGTCCTTATCTTGCACACGGTACCCTACAATATCAGAACGCCGCTTAGCTATGCAACAACGTAAACTGTGCTTGAACTGTGGCAAACAGGGGCACTTTGTGACTCAGTGCAGGAGCCAAGGATGCAGAAACTGCAGCGGGACCCGACACCACCACACTCTCTGTCCACAGCTGACAAAGAAAAAGGTGGAGGACACCAAGCAGTGGGCACCCGATAAGGGAAAAGACACACTTCCCAAAGGTAAGGAGTCGAAGAGTCGACAAGAGAAACCCAGACAGGGTAAACCAACTGTAACACGTGCCAACCCCATACATTCCGACTGCATAAAGGGCCAGGAAGCCTTGTGTCAGGAACCAGAGACTGGCGCACATGAAACCATGGTGTTTCAAAGTATAGGCAGCACACATAAAGTAAGTCGTGTGCTACTGTTAACCGGTTGGGCACAAATTCGGAATACTCACACAGAGAAGTGGGAAAAAGTGGAAATTTTGTTCGATACCGGGGCGGACCGCTCATTCATCAATGAGACTTTAGCCGACGAACTCGGCCTGGAATACTCAGCATACAAAAGACTGAGACTGCGTACATTTGGCTCAAATGAGCCTAGAACGACGATATCCAAGATGGCCATAGTGGACATACGCGACTACAAAGGGCGTAAATATCCGCTACAGCTATATACAACGCCCATAATAACAGGCTCAGGAAAAGCGGCTCACTTGACAGAAGCAGACAAAGCCTTCATGGAGAGCCATTCGATAGACCTCTTCGCGGCAACCGAGGACAGCCCTTCTAATCCTAAGATCCTCCTGGGATGCGACCAATTGTGGGACCTTTTGGAATCTACTTGTCCGCAGTATACTCTCCCATCCGGACTAAAACTCATACCCTCGAAATTGGGTTACCTGCTCACGGGAAGGCAAAATGAAGCCATAGAGCAGACAGAACGTATCAGACACACTGAGCTCAACTCAGTGGCAAGAGTGAATACTTTCACCAATTTTGATGAAGACACTGAACGATGGGACAAGTACTGGACTATGGACTCATCAGGAATTTGCGAATTTACCGGTTCAAAGGACGCAGAGAAGAAAGCGACAAATGAAAAGGTCTTACAGTTCTTCAATGACACAATTGAAAAGCGCGAAGATGGATATTATGTGCGTTTTCCTTACAAAGAACACCATGCCCCTTTACCATCAAACAAGGCCATTGCGCTGAAAAGGCTCGAAAGCGTGTTGACAATGTTACGACTGAGCCCAGACGTTCTCAAAGAGTATGAGCAGACCATAGCGGCACAGGAAGAAAGCGGCATCATTGAGGAGATTCCAAATAATTACCACCAAGAAGGAGCGATACTTCATTACATTCCTCACCAGCCGGTCATTACGCCTAACAAAGAGACCACCAAATTACGCATAGTTTTTGATGCTTCTTCCCATTTCACGAACTGCCCTTCATTGAATGACATACTCCACCAGGGCCCACTAATATTACCGGAACTGTATGAAATGCTGCTGCGCTTCCGAATAGATCCTTACGTAGCAACCGCAGACGTAGAAAAAGCATTTCTTCAGATTCGGTTACACGAACTTGACAGAGACGCCACCAGATTCCTATGGGTACGAGATACCAACAAGCCCGTTGAAGAAGACAATATCATTACGTATCGTTTTACTCGCGTTACATTTGGACTCAATGTATCCCCGTTCCTCCTGGCCGGAACCATCCATCACCATCTACGCTCTTCAGTAGAAAATGAAGATATAGCAGAAGAAATTCGCGAAAACTTGTACGTCGACAATCTGATTCTGGCAGGAAAATCGGAGACAGAGCTGCGTCGTAAGGCAAACGAAACTCGCCGAATTTTTGCGGAGATGGGGATGAATTTACGCGAGTTTCGCTCTAATGACCCTCTACTATGTCAAGAACTTCCAAAGGAAGCAAGTTCAAGATGCGCTACACAAAAGGTTTTGGGAATTGTTTGGGACGCAAACGAAGATACCCTCCACATCCATTGTAGTCTACCGAAATGCGACCCCCTTACCAAGAGAATGGTGGCTCGTAGGATAGCGTCCGTATATGATCCCTTTGGGTGGCTAGTACCGTTGCTCACTCAAGCGAAGCGGTTTCAACAGGGCCTTTGGAAACACAAATATGAATGGGACTCGGAACTTCCACCTGATATTACGAAGGAATGGAAGAATATCACTGCGAATGCAGACGGGTTTCAACATTCCTTCCCGAGACAATTCCTTCTTGACGATTCAGTCGAAGGTGACATTGCCGTATTTGCTGACGCTAGCGAAATAGCCATATCATGCTGTGCATATATCTTCAATGACAAGGGATCTACTCTGGCAATGGCGAAGTGCAAGCTCCCTTCCATACACTCGAAGACCACCATGCCAAAGCTAGAAATGAATGCGCTAACGTTAGGCGTCAGACTTGCTCGCTCAATTTTCCAAGCCATCAAGAACCGTATTCCTAGTAATCCAGCTAGGATATACATATTCTCGGACTCCCAAATAGCACTGAGCTGGCTTAGTCATAAGGGAACGACGACTCAATTTGGACGACTTGTGGAGAATAGACTGAAAGAAATCAAGGAGATTGTGGGCTCCTTAGTAAAACAAGGAGTAACCGTCGAATTCCGGTATATAACATCCACGGAAAATCCAGCAGACGCGGGTACTAGAGGCCTAACTAAAGAACAGCTAAAACATCACATCTGGTGGACGGGGCCGAGATTTTTGAACATCCCACCTCACCTATGGCAATCTCCGCAGTATAATCTTGCGACTAGTGAGACCACTATTACCCCAGATGACTCACAAACAGGAAGTGAAGTGACAACTACCAATACACAGACGCTAGAAGACGACATTGCACCACTAGTCGATTTGACTCGCTTCAGCTCGTTCAAAACGGCAAAAAGGGTGCTAGTTATTGTGCTCATTTTTGTGAAGAAACTCTTGAGCGCATTACCAGCCCATCGCGCTTCATCCATCGCTCAGAAAATTCCACAGTTTGAGTGTATTCCAGACTTTTTGACTGAGGTAGATGGGTCGGCGATAAAAGTAGCGCGAGCCATGCTCATCCGTGACCACCAGGCCACTTTCTTGGAAAAAGGTTACAGAAAAACCATGGAGAACACGCTCCGACCATTCCTGGATGAAAGCCTCATTTGGCGGTCAAGAGGCCGCCTTGGCAACACTTCTCTCACGACCGAGGGGAAGTACCCGATTATCATCGCACCAAATACAACCTTAGCAAAGCTCATCATCCAGGACTCACATGGGAGATATCATCAAGGCATAGAGCACACTATGGCAACCGTAAGATCACATTATTGGATACCGAAACTGCGCCAACAAGTAAGAAAATTGATCTTACGATGCGTCAAGTGTCGACGCTTCAATGGACTTCCATTTTCCTACCCAGAACTAACGGACTTACCCCAACGACGCGTAGCTCGGAGTCGGCCTTTTCAACATGTAGGGCTTGATTTCTTTGACCTACCACAGCCATCGGGAGGCGACGAGGACATCAAGCCAGCAGGGTGCATCTTTACATGCACAGTTACAAGACTCGTCCACCTGGAGATGGTCTACAGTATGAACACAGAAGACTTCATTAACGCCCTTCGACGCTTTGTGGCTCGTAGAGGAATTCCAGATTCCATCACTTGCGACAATGCTCCAACCTTTTTGTTAACTGCTCGCATTTTATCAGATAAGCACATGGTGCATGAGGACATACTAAGAGCGACGTCGGATAAAGAGATCCAATGGAGATACATAACTCCCTATGCCCCTTGGCAAGGGGGATTTTATGAGAGGCTTATAAAATCGGTGAAACATGCCCTGTACAAGTCTCTAAGAGGTACAAATCAACGATCTAGGGAACACCTACGTACCACTTTGATCGAAATCGAAGCTTGTTTGAACTCCAGACCACTCACATACCTAGGAGCTACACAAGAAGACCTAACAGTGGTTAGACCAATCGACTTCTTACAAAAAGACCTTAACATCACCATGCCACATGATAATTTGACATTACCATCCTCGGAAGACCCCGATTACCATTCCCCGGAAGAACTCCGAGAACTGCGAAGCCGCGAGAATGTAATTGAAGCACTACAATCCTCATGCAAGGCTACGGAACGATTTTGGACCATTTGGCAGGAACAATACCTCACAAGCCTGCGGGAAAAGCAAAAAAGGTCTTTAACAAGGAGGAGAAGTGGTCAGCAAATTCCAGCGGTAGGTGACGTCGTACTAGTCAGTGATCCGGTCCTCCCAAGAAACGACTGGAGAATGGCACGCATCACGAAATTGCAACCGAGCGGCGACGGAAATATCAGAGAAGTCGAACTTGTCACAGCCACACGAAGGAAAATACGTCGACCAGTTAATCTTCTGGTACCGCTGGAAATAAACTCGGCAGCCGAAAACACTGAAAACGCTATTTACGAAGACGATCCAAATCCGGAAGTGCCAATCCCACCGGCCATGACTCAGACGCATCGATACAATCTACGAAAACGACCTCCCAAGAAGCCAGAGATGACCACAATCTCAACATTGCGCTCATCTCGTTCAGGACGATCAGTGAAATGGTTCCTATTCTACCTTATGCTTCTCTCAATAGCATGCATAAGCTCAGCGACTGCATCTCAGGACATCAGGGTACAATGCACAGATACAGGACTACTGATCTCCACAAGAACACAGAATAAGACCATTGAAATTTGCGCGGAGTACTACTGTCAACGCCAGAACATCACAGAAACTCCACAGTTGGTGAAATTCCCCCCAGACATTACACTTAACGATCACCTGGTCCTGATCAAATGGAACTTAGGGAAAAAGTTAGCTACTATAGAAACCAGATGCCCAGGAATAGACTTTTGCGAAAATATCGACTGTTTCTTCTGCTCGCACGTACTCTTAAATCCAGAATGCCGCCCACTAGAAGCACTATCAATAATCATGATCACTGCATATGGCGTAGTGGCGTTCGTTTACACTCTTCTCTACGTCCCGATGACAATAGGAAAGCCCATCAGAGTTCTCCTTCAGGGATTGAAAGTAATAATTATTTTTATCGCGAAACTGATAGGGCGTTGTATTTACAAAGTTCTACGCTATCTGCTTAGAGGACGACGCAGAACTCAGAGAGAAAGAATCTATGCGGCATTAGTAGTGATCGTATGTGTCATCCTCCAACCCATACCCACTACGGGGGCATGCCAACTCGTCAATGTTTTCCAGCAAAACTCCACCATTTGCTCATCAAACGCAGGAAGAGAAACATGTACGATCAGACTCATGGAAATGTTAAAGCTCAACTCTTTCAAACAAGAGGCGTGCCTAACAGTGACCCACAAATCGTCCGTCATTGCCAACATAAACGTCCGATGGAAGGGCTTATATTTGCAATGCGAGAAGCACTCGTTATATTTTACCCGGCCTGCAATACTCAAGACTCTAGACAGCAAACGTTGTCCCAAGATGGGATCGTGCGGAGAAGAAAAATGCGCTAACTTCGATACTTCGACTCTCGTGGAAGAACTGGCAGCGGCAAATGATTTTCCAGGTAGGACAGGCTGCATGGAATCCTGCGGGGGTTGGGGCTGCGATTGCTTTCGTTTTAGCTCGGGATGCTTGTTTTATCGCATATATGCAGTCCCAACATCACCAAAAATATATGAGATGTTTCGTTGCTCAAGATGGGCAGAAGAACTGCAAATGGAAGTTAAAATCGAAAACTTCCACAGTCCAAATGGAACGTCAACCCATGTTCTCGCAGTAATTCCCAACGTCCCCATGAAACTCCGTTCTATCCAGCTCACGGCAACGACACTCGCTTTACCGCCTATTCCACCACTCAACTACCAATTCATTACAAATGGCGAGGAAATAGCCATTTGGGACACACAACACCCTCCCAACCTCCTCTGTGAGACCGCTCAAGAAGCAATATACGGAAATTGTTCGGTAGTAGAAGACTGTCGTTGTTCACCCGCTGAAACCAAGGTTAATTGTATTTGCACTACGGTAGACGTCGAGGCAGAATTCAACAAGGTCGAACACAAACTCCCCCTCAAAACCCCTGCATGGGAGCTGAAAAAACGACCTAATAGTTCGCTGATAGCGAAAATCCCGCAAATGGTTAGCGCAGATGTCATCTTGGAGTTTTTAGATACTGTAGATACCACCATACTGTCAATCAAGAATAACACATGCTCCATCACTGATAGCGCACTGCAGGGTTGCTATAGCTGCTCCAAGGGGGCTCAGGCCAAGATTCATTGCCACTCTGACTCGGAGACGTTCGGAGAAATCTTATGTGGTAATCACGCCTTTGTGGTACCGTGCACTCCAAAATCTCCCGAAACAGCGCTGAGATTTCACCTCGAGTCCGCACAACAACTGCTAAATTGCTCTATAACGTGCGGAGTTGAAACTAAGACTTTTACTTTGTCCGGTATCCTTAAATACGTCGGCAACATCCAAGCTCATGTATCTACTCTCATCCAGGGCAACAGTACAACGTATAACGAAATAGCATGGCCAGACTTCAACCACATCCTATCGGTGTTTCTTTCGTGGTATAAAATGGTAATAGTGGGCCTTATAGTAGTTCTTGCCTCGCTACTACTCTCATATTTACTCCTCCACAGCGTGGGACTAAAACTACTTCAACTACTGTGGCACGCATTGGTTAGACTCGCTTCCTGCCCGTTAAGAATGGTACTACTCGTGTTTGACAAGGCTATAGGCAAGAAAAGCAAAAGGGACGGGTTGCAGAGAAATAACCATATCAAAAATCTATAGTTTATCCACTCCAAGTTAGCAATCAATCATAGAGACTAGTTTAGATATGACTGACTCCGTACAGCTTCAACGAGACTACGAACGACTACGTGACTCCTTGCCTCGTCTTCCAAGTAAAGACACCTTATATGCTCACATAATCGATGTATTTCTGAAAATTCATGCACTGCGAGACCCCATTAATGCCCTAGGCAAGAAAATAGACACCTTCCGTAGAGAAGAAGGTAGCTGGCATGAACGCACGCTCGAATTGGAACTGCTCCACACCACGGCATGGAAGTACGAGTACCAGCTTCTGCTCTACGACTCGAGACTAGAGAACTTACTCACGTACCCTAGACTCATGATTGCGACGAACGTCATGGATGAGACTACGTGGAACGAGAAAATGGCTCAACCAGTACTCGACATCGACGACAATCCGGTGACTACAGACCCCAAGCAGACTCAGCAGGAGATGCGCGATTATCTCGACAGACTCAACAAGTTTCACAGGCGCATAGAGCTAATTGAGGATGAGCTCATGAACGAAGATGATACCGAGACATTGGACTTCCAAAAACGGGTGCTGCTGGAACTCCAGGTGATCAGACAAACACTGGACCAAATGGATCGCAGTCACGGACAACCGGCAACTTCCAAAGAAGGCCAGAAACACACATCCACCGTAGACCGATCACTAGGAGGGCCAGTGGATCTTAGCTACCCAGACTACCAAGACTCCCCACAATTGGACTCCTATAAAACAACAGAGGTTGCTCAGAACAGAGCGGAGGAAACCACTGATGTACCGAAGTTGGTCGATCCAGACGACTCTAGTGGACAGGAAGACCCTGCCGAAATGCGGGAGCGGGAGGCACTTTACATCCGGAGAAACATCGCGTTTTTGGAACCCATAATAGAGGAAGAAGGCGAAAACGTCGCCAACCCAGAAGATAAGATGGTGCTCAATCCGGAAGATCAGATAGTGCTCGTCGAAGAAGAACTGGTAGAAATTGACGAAGCGGCCGGTGAGGAGGAGGATCACGAACAAGTCAGACCACCGGCCGAAGACGTTCGCGTCCAGCAGCAAGAGGAGACCGAACAAGCACTGGTGGCTCGACTCCTGAATGAATACAGACAAGCGAAACAGGCTAAACAAGACATATACATGATGATATCAGCACTAGAGACTCAGCCGCGCTGTCGTTTAAGGCGATATCAGCAAGGTGTAGACCGCGACAGTGAGAGGACAATGCCATGCATTTTTTGCGGAGAGGAAGGTACCCATTACTCCGATGCTTGTTTGACAGTCAGAACTGGCAAGGTTCGAAACGAAATTATGGATAGAGACCACAGGTGCAAAAAGTGTTTGGACGAGTGGTGCGCTCGCGACAACACGTGCCGCAAAGCTGATGAGACCTGCTTCTACTGCGGCAGCGACAGCCACAACGGATGCGCGTGCGAACTTCCAGACAAGAGCCGCGAATTGGAAGAGAGACTCCAGAGTCTACGGAATGATTGCGACCATGCAAGAATGAGGATATACCGTATTGGCAAACGCTTGGAACGCCACGGCGTCAGAGACTTTGCTTAGCTTCTCTTCGGAAGGCCTTGACCCTGTTTCTCTTATCCTTTCTCTTTGAGGGGCGGGAGTATCGCGGAATATGCGCGATCTTTCTGATTGTATATGTAATTTGCTCTTAATCAACGCATTGGAATGTAAGGGTCGCTGGCGCGGCATGGTAAAAAGCACCCAGCTGGGTTGTTTTGGCTTTCCAGGAAGCTGCGCCAGCGACTCCGTATATAAGAGCGATAGTGACTCATAGGCTGCTCTTGCGACTTGCTCTTAATTTTGCGGTTTCTACTCGCACACATTTTGACTCCTTGCTCAGTTTTGCTCTTCTGGGGCTCTGGGGACTCCTGAGATCTTGAAACTCCAGTTAACGTGCTCAGATCGTAAATCAGGCCTTATATCGAGTATTTTAGGCTCCTTTTCACTTTGTGACTCGTTTTGTGGACTCCAGATTTGTCACGAGAGGTGGTTATTTAACACTGAATTAATAAATAATTAGTGATTACTATTTTCGGATATTCAGTGAAAGGAAGTTTATACTCCTGTATCATATCTGGACAAATAAAACCGCGTGGCTCAACAGTTATTTTACGTGCTTGTTGATTTAAGTTTTTCTACTCTGAGCTAATCTCGAATGAATTTCTGTCTCATCTTCCAGGGAGCAGCATGCGATAAATTGCACTATGCTATGCTACGATGGCGATACAGATCCCAGTTTTGCGGCTATGCTGTGGCAATGAAGAGAGGACGTTGATGGCACATAAACTTGTCAGCATCGACACCGTATTCACAAGTGATCGCATGCTTCTCGCATTCGATTTCTCGTCGCAGATACTTCTATCATAGTAAATAACCTACGTCTTCTATGTCTATAACTCTCAATTCCGTACCATACATCGGCTCAAGAACATGTCCTTCTTGACCGGTGTATTTTTTGGCAACAACAATGTAGAACATGTTTCGCGGAGTTAGCATCTTAACGACCTCCATAATTCGATCTGAAATCAGTCATTGTCAAGAATCTCAATAAGGAGTACAAAAGCCACTTATTCTTCTCGTTGCACTTGTTCAAGGCGATCAATTCTTGAGAACTGCAGCAAGAAGAAGTGGCCTCTATCTCGAGAGACGAGAGTAAGGTTAAGTCGGAACAGGGCTAGATTTTGTATTCAGTGGATGCAGATAGGCGCATATGAAGGGATCTGTCACACCGTGCTACTATATATACCCATGACGTAACTGTGAATTCGCACAGTCGTAAAGGTAAAAGCATTTGATTACATAAATACACATATATCATCTGTCGCCTTGTTGCTCATGGAATTCCTTGAGCGCAACGTATTGGCCCGTTTTTCGCCATACCAGAGTGAATCAATTAACTTTAAGGGACATGACCAGTTCATTTTACTTGTTTGCTTTCGCAAAGAAGTCTAACGTCGTGGTACCAGCGGTGGTCCCACGTTCCTTCGAAGCACAAAAAATCTTTTAATGATCGCTTTTATTCAAAGATCTCCGCAACATCGCATGACGCAGATGGCTTATTAGAAGAATGCGGCAGGGTTCTTTTGACCGTGACGGAGCGTAGAACATATGGAACTCCGGATTCCCTTCTTTACTTGCAAGTACACAGAGCTTCTTCACTGCGCGTTGGTTAACGCTGATCTCATCCTGCCCGTGCAGAGTCCAAGTCTCAAAAGTGCAAAGTGTCTGCAGAATCAACGAGAAAGACGCGTAGCGCGATGTGCTTCATCTTCTTTAGTACTAGTTTTTTTAGTTCTTTTGTATATTTTTCTAGGCCTGCAGAACCGTCACCCTTCCTGCTCAGCATTGTAACCAGGTTCTTTATCATATTGATTTCGTAAATGACCACTTCATTTCCCATTAATCTTTTCGTCAGTTTACACGCAAACCCTTCCATACCTTTCATATGCGCAGCTCGAATCAATCGGCGCTCGCATTAGCTCAGTGTTAGGTGAACCAACATAAAGCTTTTTATATGGCTGTTATGTGAGCACCGTGCTTGTTTGGTTGCAGCTTCGCATGAACAAAGATGAAAGCCTATTAATAGCATGCCCCAGGACCACAGTGGTGTTTCTCTTGCACACGCGTGCGAATTGGTGCGAAGTGGGCCAGCAGTGAAGAAAAAGGAAAAGAGTCCTATGCAACTGCTCAGGTTAAGGGCTCACTACGAAGTGCGGAGAGGAGAGTATGAGACGAGAGAGCGCTACAGATGAGAGAGCGCCAGACAACAGCCTGATAAGAGAAAAAAATCTGCAGCTTCAGCAGCTTACTTTGCAAGGCCCAAGCGCTCTTGTCGGTTGGTTTCCGTGCACGGGAACGCCACATTTGTGATTGTCCTCTAGGGTTCTATACTAAAGACCGGAAGGAAAACTTCACACCACCGAGGTGGTGCCTTTAAGAATTTTCAAAATTATGTATGGGGAATGAGTCTTCATACCAGGGTTGTACTCCGTCAGGAGAATACGGCACGACAGAACGTCTTGAAAAGGAATGCGCTGTAGCTCAGAAGAATATTGCACCACCACATCCTTCGGATATTGCTTGTCCTAAAATGGAATAAGAGTGTTAAGATGGAATAAGCGGTGAACGTTGATAAATGCTAGCAAATCAAACCGACCAACCACGAAGCGAAAATGAAGCTCTCCCAGATCTCGAAGTTCTTCATGTATCCAAGCAACCACACCACTTCGTCGAATTAATCCGATGTACTTGAAAACTAGACTTACTATATCTTCAGTGTGATCCAAGCCATCTGAAGAAGGCACTTTAGAAGAAAACAAAGCAAGATCAAAGCCACATGAATGCATTTTCTCTAATAAGAACCTTGATATGTATGTACTGACTACTCACCAGCGCTGAGGTGAACATCGACTTGGAATATGCAGGTTCCTTTTGCAAAAATGTCTGCATCGGCGTACAAGTTGCGCACCCATCCTAGCCGCTTCAGTTCAGACAACAGAGATCCTTCTCCTTTGTGACTAAGCAGGTGCGCTGATAGAACAAAATTTTTATTAGGGAGCGAATAAATTCCATCAAATGACTGCACCATGTCAGTTTCCTCTTCTCACGAATTTTTTTCTTATATGCGAACTACACTTCTATGATTTTCTGTTGGAACACACCTCGAGCAGAGCTCCAGGACCCACCATATGGCAGACAGAAGATTTAGACGAGTTAAATGACCAGATCTTCACCGTGCGCTATGTTGCCAACAACTGTCACATGAACCCGGCGTGGCATCCGCCAGGCCCTTTCCTGCTGGATAGTGCGTGACGTTCGTTAGAGCCACGAGATG